TTGAAATCATGTACAACATGTTACCAGGTGTTTGTTTATCTTTTCTTTTTGTCAAAAATATATCGATGCCCTTATGCCATGCAAGAGCTGGTTTTTAGAGCAAAATTTTGATTTATTAGCATTTTTATGCATGCGTATGTACATGTACATTGACAAGAAATTTTATGTTTCTCCATTATCTCTTTATAATTCTCTCTCTCTCTCTCTCTCTCTCTCTCTCTCTCTCTCTCTCTCTCTCTCTCTGTTTTGAGTATAGACTTTGATAGACCGTACGAAGCTAAGCTTGATATGACGCTCAAGAAGTTCACGTCGAAACCGATCATCAGTTTATCGGTTATCCCAGAACAAGACATGTTCTTAGCACTGACAAGTTAGCGTCCATTCATTGTACAGGCTAACATGTGTCCCCATATCTCTTATTGTGTGTGTACAGCTGATGGTGAGTTTCACTGTGCTAGCCTCGTCACATATCAAACTGTAAACATTGGTATACCACGTCTTAAGGGATGTTCCACTTTTGCCGTCGACTGGCACAGGCTAAAAGGTAAAAGGGAGATTCCAATTTACTATAACATAATTTGAGTCTTTTTTGTTCTTAAGGTTTCAATGCTTATTTAAGAGTTTGTATTGTCCTTAAGAAAAAGTTACTGATCTATACGTACTTTGGCGGTACATTCACTCAGACTGTAAGTTTTAAATTTAAAACCATTTACTCGCTTTAATTAACATAGTAACACTTTAATATCATCTGTAGTTTTATTCTATTCTTTCTCTCTTTCTCTTCTTCTTCTTTCTTCTATAGAATGATTTGGTTGTCCTTGAAACTCCAAAGATGGTCTCTTGGTTAGGAGAAGGCATCATATTTTGTATAAAGAAAGATCTCTACTACATGTCTGTACGTTGAACTAATTAAATATCATATCCTCCCCTTGATTTCTTCCCTTCATTTGTAATAGTATCACAGTATGTGTTTGTATTTTATACTGTAGCTTGATGGTTCTTCCAAAGAGTTATTTTCAATCGGTCAGCATCGTTCTGAGCCATGTGTGCTCCCAATAATGAGAGGAGACAAGCAGGAGATGCTGGTACTGAACGACGACAAACAGGTACTAAAAGAATATACTAGAATATACTAGAGTATACTATAGTATGCAAGAGTATACAGTTTAGAAATAATGTGTTATTATTCTTGTAATACATTTACTTTATTAATTTTAGATTAGTTTAGACACAGAAGCTAAACCTACCCAACCGTCTGCTCTGGTTTGGTCGGAGAACCCAGTCTCCATAATACACATTCATCCTTATATCATTGGCATGTTGCCACGGTAAATGTAACAACAGCTGGTAACGTACATGGTTTTTTTTACACAGATCCATTGAAATACGAGCATTGGAACAAAAGCTGCTAGTGCAGAGTATAAAGACGAATGAGCAGATCAAAGATCACGTCAGATTCATTGCACACGATCAAGTGACTTTAGTCGCTAGTCACACTCAGGTAATCCTCAAATTATTGAGCTGTTCCTTCCTGTCTTGCTATTCTTTTGACTTTTTTCACTTCAGAAAAAATATAAAAATGGAGAATTCTCTTCTATTCACTTGTGGCAAAATTTGGCCAAAGTCCCTGTAGTACAGTACAGGGACTTTGTATGATTTTTCAGCAACTTTAAAAATTCATAAAAAATTCAAATTTGATCGGAATTAGCTCAAACTTTCTACACAACATAGGAACATGTATATGTATCAGAGAAAATTATTAAAATGGAGAATCTCCACCTAGTGATTTTTGCTGAAATTTGGCCAACGACACTGTACTATAGTACAGGGACTTTTGCCCAATTTTAAAGCAACTTTAAAAATTCATAAAAAATTCAATTTTAATTGGAATCAGCTCAAACTTGATGTACAACATAAGTACATGTATATGTATCAGAAAAAATTATTAAAATGGAGAATTCCCACCTAGTGATTTTTGCTGAAATTTGACCCAAGACCCCCTGCACTCCATTTTTCCCTGCTGTCTTACCTATTCCCCCTTCATTAGGTGTACAAGTTAGAACCCAAAGCATACGAGAAGCAGGTCCAACAGTGTGTGCTCACCAAGCAATTTGAACTAGCACTGGAAATATCAGTAAGTCCAATACAATATAATTTCATCATGTGATTGTCATGTGATTGTTTTAGGAGCTAATAAAGGAGACTGAGAGCGAGAGGAAGTTGAGGAGGGAGGAGATATTACGTCGTTATGCTTTTTATCTTTTCACTCGATTTGAGTTTGAGAAATCACTTAAGTTCTATTTAGAAATAAATGAAGGTTCATTATTATTATTATTATTATGAACAACAACATTAGTGCACAAATTATTATCAAAATAAGTATGAAATTAAAATTATTATTAATTTGTTATCATTATTATTATCATTATTATTATCATCAACAACTATTAAGTAATTTTATTATTTGATTATTATTTGTTCTTTCTATTTCAGATCCAATAAAAGTGATTGCCCTGTATCCTCATTTCCTCCCAAGTGAGCACAGGCAGAACCTGTCCCTACCCACTTCCCCACCCACTTTCACCGGAGAAGACTTAAAGAAAGCAACTGAGTTTCTCATCAAATATTTGACACAGGTGGGCCCCCATGGGAACAAATTTAACAAAATGTGCCTCATTATTTTGTGTACATCTAGTTACGATATTTGGAGCAGCAGAACTTGCAGCAGCTGCTGACGAGAATGGAGAACAAACGGGAGGACTCTCCAATTGATAGTGAATCCAAGAAAAAAATAGATGCAAGACTTCAACTGATTGACACAACACTACTCAAATGCTATATAAAGGTATGGAAGGCTTAATGTATTTTGTTAGACTGATATAAATCTGCCATCAAACGTACACATGTGTATTAAAATTTTGATTTTTGTTGTACAAGTTTGTCTGAAAAGCAAAACCATGACCATGTGCACTTTGAGGCTGGAATTTTTCAATTTTTAAACATTGTGTGTCACTCAAATATTGCTCAAATATTCTTTATGTTGCTCTCCTTTTTTAGACTGGTAATAATACTTTGATTGGGTCTTTGGTCCGTTTGCCCGAGAATCACTTACACCTGGGAGAAAGTGAGAGGGTTTTGAGGAACGACGAAAAGTTTCAAGAATTAGTTCAACTCTACCAAACTAAAGGACAGCACAAATTAGGTAAGACAAAACATGTATGTGTGTCAGAAAATGTACTGACTTTTCTTTTTTATTAGCTTTGACCATGTTACACAGTTTCCACGGAGGTCCAAACTCATCGCTCTCGGGGGTGTGGCCAACCATCAGACTATCTTCAGAACCTCGGCAGCGAGAATATAGAGCTTATACTTAAATACTCCGAG